AAAAAAAAACTGATTGTGTATAAATGGCAACTGCCTATATAGAAAAATTCCAAAAACCTTCCTCAAACTTACATAAGTAAGTGATTTTAGTAAGGTGGTAGGATATAAGGGCAGGATATAAATCCTACTTCTATACCAGTAATGTACAGTTAGAAACTTGAAAGAAACTGGGTGTGGTGGTGCACAGCTGTAATCCAGCTTTCAGGAGGCTGAGGCAGAGGATTGCCATGAATTTCAAGCCAGCCTGGACTCTATAGTGAGTTCAAGGCAATGTGAACTACATAGCAAGACCCTGTCTCAAAGAAAGAGAGGTAGAGGGGGAGAGGGAGGAGAAGGAAGAGGAGGAGGAGGAGAAAAGAAAGGAAGAAAGTTAAAAAGGCAATACTATTTTATAAGAGCTTTCTTATACCTAAGAAAATTAGGTATAAGCCCTTTGTGATGAAAACTATAAAATGCTGATGTAAGCAATCAAAAACCTGAATAAATGACAGGCAGGCCTTCTTTCCTGAACTAGAAGAGCCAGTGTGGTTAGGGTACCAGTATCCTCAAACAGGCTGTAGACTTAACTCAGTCCCAGGCCAAGTCTTAGCAGGATGGTTCTGTACAAATAGGCAAGCTAATTCTAAATTGTATGCAGAACACAAAACTAGAATATGTTTTTAAAACAAGATCTCACTATGTAGCTCACTCTAGCCCAGGCTGGCCTGGAGCTTGTGATGATCCTCCTGCCTCAGCCTCCTCAGTGCTGGGACTATGGCTGTGCACCACCATGGCTGGCTAGAACAATTTTGCAAAAGAAAAAGTTGGAGGAATAAATGTGCCTCATTTTACACTTACTGTGAAGTTACAGTGTTGGCAGCCTGGTCCCAGTTAAGAGCAGCCATATAGATTAGGGCATGAGACAAAGTGCAGAAGTAGACGTGGATGAAAATGAGTCATTTGGTTGCTGATGGAGGTGCAAAAATACTTCAGTTCATCTTCAGCAAATGTGTTAGAACAAGCGCTCATCTTATGTGTCCATAGCAAAAGCCAGCCTACCTCAGCTCAGCCTTACATCTTAGATACACATTTACATACATTTACACATTTAAATTTAATGGATTATAGCTGTGTTATAGATTTAAAAACTGTAATTCTCTCAAAATCTTTCTGGGTTAGGCAGAAAGTTCTTAGGATAGCAATAACGTGATTATAAAATCAACTGTGCCAGCCCACCCCTGGGACGCGCTGAAGTGACGATTGAGACTGGGCATGGTGGTGCATGCTTGTATTCCCAGCACTTGGGAGGCTGAAAACAGAATCACTACAAGTCTGATCTATGTAGTGAAACCCTGTAGACCCTGTAGGCCCTTCCCTAAATATGGGGGGGAAGGGGGGGAGAAATCAAAAATTGAAAGATGGGACCTGATCAAAATTTAAAGCTTTTGTTGTGTCAAAAATGTTGCTAAGAGAATGAAGACAACCTGCACACTGGAGGAAGTGCTGGAGGGTCACATGGCCCTCCGAGGAGTCATGTCTAGCTTAGAATAAGACTCTTTAAAACTCAGCCTTTGGGCTGGAGAGATAGCTCAGTGGAATAAGTGCTTGCCTGGCAAGCGCAGTCCTGAGTTCGATCACTGGTACCACAAAAAGCAAAACAACAAACACCTCAGCTGTGAGAAAAACCAGCTCTGCAGTGACAAACACACAAAGGAGTTGGACAGTAGTTCATCCACGCATGAGGACCCACAGGCGGCAAAATGCTGGGGAAAAGATGTGTTCAGCATCATTGGTCATCAGAGAAATGCAAAGGAAACTTGGTGTCAGGACAGTTCAAATGAAAGACTGGCAGCACTTAGGACACACAGTGCTATGCAGTTGGGATGTGCCTGCCTTGCCGCTCAGGGCAGAAAGCATTTGTCACTTTCTCACACTTTGTGTGACCTGTCAGGGCCACAGACTCCTGCTTGTTACCCCAAATAAATGAAAACTCAAGTACACAAAAGCTCATGTCTGTGAAAGTTTTATTTTGATCATGGTAAAATGCACATAAAGCTCAGCATCTAAGTCATCTTTGGGGTACAGGTCAGTTGCCCAGTTCATTGCCATTGTCCATCTCTAGGAGCTTTTCACCCCCAAACACCCACTATACACTGGCCTCCTCTCTCTTCCTCCCCTGTTTTCCTGTTTATGTCTAGGAATTCCACTATTCTAGATAATCTCATCTATGCAACACCCTCTAGTACAGTGTTTGTCTTTTTGTGATTGGCTTCTTTCCTCTTGTGTGATGTCTTAAGGGTGCATGTGTGTTGTAATGTGTCAGAATCACCTTTTAAGGCTGGGTCATATTCTGTGTTGGTGTGTGTGCTACACCTTTTGTCATATCCATCCATCAGTGGGCCTTGGGTTGCTTCCACCTTTTGACTTTTCTTAATGCAGCTGTGAGCATAGGTGGGCAAATACCTGTACAACTGTTCACTAATGTTTATAGATGTTTTATTTATAACTGTCAGAAACCAGAAGCAACCTCAGTGTTTCTCAGCTGATGAATGGATAGAAGTGATGGCACCATGCAATGGATGTGACTTGGCAGTGAAAGGAAAGAATATGGGTCCACAAAACAACCGGCGTGAATTCCACCTGCATGCAGTGACTGAGTGAAGCTGCTCTCGGAAGGCTGAAACAGTACTGTTTCACTTAACATGGGCTTCTCAAAAGCACCAAGCCCTTGTGGAGGAGACCAAGTCAGTGATAGCCCATGCTGGGAAGTAGCCTTAGGCATGGTACAGCAAAGGGAACAAGAGGAGGGTTTGGGGAGGTGGGTCTCAAGCTGTTCTGCCTCTGGATTGTGGTGGTGGTTGCATACACAGTGTGTTTGTCTGTATGCCAGGGACAGTCCATTCTACTGTTGGATAATTTATCAAATAAAAGTTTTGAAATTCATTGATCAGGATGTTTTAAGGCCTTGGTTTCCTATACCTCAGAACTAACCCAGTTAAAAATATTACATAAAACAATTCCAAGGGGCCAGGGAGATGGCTCAGTAGAATAAGCACTTCCCTGGCAAGCGCAAGGGCCTGAGTTCAATCCCCGGTTCCACCAAAAAATAACAAAACAAACAAACAAAACAATTCCACTCAAAATTTCCACAAAAACTATTTTTTTTTCCACAAAAACTATTAACACTAGGAATAAACCTAACACCAATTATGCTAGAGCTACCTATAGAAATGGTAACAAATGTAGAGGGCTGATTTTATGCACTAAGTACATCAAAGCACTTAGTTTAAAGGACTGTAATCCCAGCACTTGGGAGGCTGAGGTCAGCCTGGGCTATATAGTAAGCTCAAGAGGCAAGAGGATTGCTGCCAGTTTGAGGCCAGGATGGGCTATGTAGTGAGCTCAAGACCAGCCAGAACTACATAGTGAGAGCCTGTCTGAGGAAAACAGTAGAATGGAGGCACTTAGTGTCCTGAAAGTTTTACTTTGCCTGAACTAGTTTATAAATTTAAGGCAGTACCATCTTAAGTCCAACAGAATGTGGTGGTAGGTAGGTAGGTAGGTAGGTAGGTAGGTAGATAGATAGATAGATAGATAGATAGATAGATAGATAGATAGATAGATTCCTTCATTCTAAAATTCATCTGGTGGGCTGGCCTGATAACTCAGTGGACTAAAGTGCCTGCTTAGGCAGAGTGCAGCTTCCAGGTTCAATCGCCTGGGTGCCTTGCCGGCCCTGCCCTCAGGGTACACTGAGACAGCTACTGAGACCGGGTGTGGTGATGCAAGCCCATAATCCTAGCTCTTGGGAGGCTGGAAATAGGAGGATCACTACAAGTTGGATAAACGTAGTAAGACTCTGTAGGCAGTGTCCTAAATACAGAAAGAAAAAATAAAATTCATCTGTGGAAAATGTACAAAATAACTGATTTTTGTAAAGAAGACTATAAAATTCCACCAAAGTTTTGTTCTGCTTTTTTAACCCTTACTACCTTGAAAAGAGGGTCTAGGAGGGGTCCCCTCCAGCCTCAGCCTCATTGGCTGAATTCCTCCCACACTAGGGCATGTGGACAACCCCAGCTAGTCACTGATTAGCATGGTGTTACTGCTGAGATGCTGCAGACCTGAGAGTTCAGAGGGAGCCCTGGGCATATATGAAAATATAAATGGGACCTCTAAAATCAGGCAGAAGACAAGCTAATATCAGAGGATGACTATTTGGAAAAGAATTCCCAAGTTCTTTGTTCACAAAAATTTAGTTGAAGCCAGGCATAGTAGTGCACACCTATAATCCCAACACTTAGAAGGCTGAAGCAGGAGGATTGACCCAAGTTTGAAGCCAGCCTGGGCTATGTAGTAAGCTCAAGATCAGCTTGAATTTCATAGTGAGACTGTGTCTCTCAACACACCCCTACCAAAAAAATCCAATGGAAGATTGAAACATATCCCATACATGACATGTGAAGAAAGCAAGGAAATATGTGTAGCTATCAGTTAAAGATGCTTTTTTTTGGGGGGGGGGGTACCAGATATTGAACTCAGGACCTTTTGCTTGCCAGGCAGGCTCTTATGCCACCATGCTATATCCCTGGCCTTAAGGATGCCTTATTAAATGAGCATAAACTCCAAAAATAACTGATAAAAACTGGAAAACCCTTTATATGACCAAAGATCTTATAGACGAGTCCTATGACCACAGACTGGGAGCAAATGTGTGAAAAAGGCAACGTATTAGTGCCCTAAAATCTTGAAGCAATCAGCAAGAAAAGACAAATGCCTAGAGAACAAGAGGCAAAGCAGGCAAGTCCTGAAGAAAGCGAGGGCCTGATGTGAAAAAGCACTCAGCATAGAAATCTACATTTTTCTGTCAACAGTTGCCAAAATAAGATGAGGTCAGGCATAGGTGCACACCTATAACTCCTGCTACAGGAGGGGAGGCAGAGGAGTGGGCCACAGCCTAGGCAACCTAGCAAGACCCTGTCTCAGAGTCAGTTTCTTTTAACATTAAATCTGTGTCCTCTTATATAAGAAACCCAAAATAGGAATAAAAAACAGTACAGGTGAGATGGTCGGGAAGCAAGCTGTCTGAAGATGAAGAAGGATCCACAGGGAAAGGGGGAACAGTTGTCAATATACATGCCAACTCACCAAGACAGATGTGACTGTTATATTTCGCAAACACACAGTCTTGGTTATATTTCTCATTGCTAAGGCAAAATACCTGGCATACAAATTTGAAGGATGTTTGGGCTGGGGGATAGCTCAGTAGAATAAGCGCTTTCCTGGCAAGCGCAAGTCCTGAATTCAATCCCCGGTATCTCAAAAAAAAAAAAAAATAATAATAATAAAGGATGTTTGTAGAGAATTCAGTCCATGGTCATCTGGCTCCAAGGCAGAGGGCCTTTGCACAGGAAAAACAGCTCATAGTGTGGCAGGCAAAAAACAGGCGGCAGCAGTGGCCTACCTTCTTTCTGTCCCTTAATATTCATGTAGGCTACAAGCCTGTTGATTGGCACCATGTGCAACCATAATGAGGCTTCTATTGTCCACCTAGTTTCGCACTCTTAACCCATATTCACACAACTTAATCCAACTACTTTTAAAGTTCCCCACCTATGAGCACAGGAAACACTGGTGTGACATCTAAACACAAACCATAATAGTAATTTTGAAAGTCTCAGGGCTATAGCCCCTGTGGGTCCTTAGAACTCAGAGGGGTATGGTGCATAGCTTCGCTTAGCTTCACTTCTCCCCTCCCCTCCCCTCCCTTCTTTTCCATTGGTTTCTTGAGACAGAATCTCACTATGTAGCCCAAGCTGACCTTGAACTCATGCAGTGCTCCTTTCTCAGTCTCTGGAATGCTGGGATTACAGGCATGTCTGCCTCTATTTTCATTCATAACTCTTGCTTTCTTTAAATTGTAGATTAAAACAAAGCCTCAAACATAGTACACAATTTACTGGGTTTTTTTTCTTTTTTTTCCCCAGTGCTGGAGAGGAGCCCAGGATTTTACCCATAGTAGTCATGCACTATAACACAGAGCTATACCTTGGGCCCATGCAACTCACCATGCTGACCGGTTTTCAGTGTGTAGTTTCAGAATGTGAAGTATATTTGTGTTGCTGTGAAACAAGCCTCCAGAATCTTTCATTTTGCAGAGCTGAAACTATGCCAGTGATAGTGAACCTTTTAGACTGAGTACCCCAACTGTAACCCAAAACATACTTATTGCAAAGTGCCAATACTGCAACTAAACCTGAATGCTGTGGTGCTGGGGCAACTTGGCTTGTGTGCTGACAGCAGGCTGTGCGTGCGCGCTGCTGTATGCATGCCATAGGTTTGCCACCACTGCTCTATACATGTTAAACAAGTCATCTTTCCTTCTTCACCAGATGCCTCTGTGGACCACCATTCTACTTTTTATGAATTTATTTCATACAGCTCAAAGAAATGAAATCACTTAGGAGTTGGCTTCCTGTGACAAATAATTTCACTCAGCAGAATGTCCTCGGGGCTTATCCTGGCTACAGTGCAGGTTTCTAGTCTGCGATGCAGACTCCTGTCTCAGCATTATTGCCAGGAGCTGGTTGCGTCTGCACACAGAGGTGCTCCTATATTGTCTGTGACGTTACCAACTCCAGACCACCTCAACCACTGCTAGGTGTCTGGTGATGCAGGTATAAGCTGCTATGACAGTTAACACCAAGATTTCCATGCACCCACATGGGCAGTCGCTTTGGCAGCACTGGCTGCTAAATGCATAGGGTTTAGCACAAAAGGGAAACATGGGGTTCCCTGTTCCAAATGCAAGGGTTTTAAGCTAGCACTAGTAGGGTCTCCAGGCAGCCTTGAACCCAGTCTTGTTAATGTGACAGACTTAGAAGCAAAGCAAGACCCAGAGGTCTGAGTGCAGAGTCCTCTTGAGAAGCGCACAACCAAAACATGGACAGCCACTGACTTGGGGGCCAGGAAGGAAGGATGACTTGGGACTGTGGTGTCTCAGAGGCTTTCTGCTTGGCCCATCGGATCTGAGTTCTTTGCAAGAGACATGTATTCATTTTGTGTGTAACTAGAAGTCACCACCAGACATACCACTTCACTTCCATTAGGATGACCTTAATTAAAAAGAAAACCAGGAAACAGCAAGTGTTGCTGAGAATGTGGGAAAGTTGGAACCCTAATATGCTGCTGCTGAGGAGAAATGGTCTGCAGCCACTTTGTAAAACAGTCCGACAGCTTCTCCAAAAATTAAAAGTAGAGTTACATTTGACTCATCATCTCTCTAGTCCTGCACATGTTCCTAAGAGCAATGACACAACATGTTCCCACAACATATGAAAGGCTCAGAGCAGCAGCATCCGTAATAGCTGAAAGGTAGATGCAATCCAGATGTCCACCACTGGATGAATGGAGAAACTAACTGGCTTATCCTCACCTGGATCTTAAGTCTTCCCATAAAGGAATAAAGGACTGGTACCGGGTACAGCACTGTTGGGTCTTGGAAACTTGCTGACAGGAACCAAACATAGAGCTACGTATGGTTCCTTTTATACAAAATGTGTGGAATAGGTGTAGAGAGCGAAAGTGGCTTGTTGGCAGCTGGGGGCCAGGAGGAGTGGAAAGTAACTGCTAATGGTACAGTGCTGCTTTTGTAAATGATGACAGTGTTCTCAAGTTGGAACAAGTCTAGAATATGCTTTAAACTATTGAATTCACTAAAAAGAAAGGGTTGTGCTTAAATTGTTTGATCAATTTTTTCATGCCAATATCTTGTAATCTGTATTGAACATACACTATGTAATGTATTAATTCTTTAATTTATTGCTTTGAAATTTGTATCATTTTTATTGTTTTTCACTTTAAAATAAAAAATTGGAATTTTACACTTTAAATGGTGAATTGTGTGCCATAAGAATTAGCTCAACCAAGGTGCTCTAAAATCATGCGCACATGCGCGAAGCACCCGCAAGGAGGCAGAGAACACACCTTTGTTATTCTTTCCTCCCCAGGCACCCCCTGTTTCCATTATTGGCCTTGCTGTTTGAAAAGTGTGAGCAGTCCACACAAGGCTCTGAAGGTACCACTTCTGCCAGTTTTGACGTGGACATTGAGAACTTTGTCAGGAAGCAGGAGAAGGAAGGGAAGCCCTTCTTTTGTGAGGATCCCGAAACGGACAACTTAGTAAGTAAAGTCAAAGTTTCACTTTTATGTTTTATTTTCATAATTTAAAGAATTATGTTGTTCATGAAATTTTGTTCATGAAATTTTAAACTTGTATTTAGAACTTCAGACTCCTTGTGGTTCCACTAACAGGGTGTGACTGCTGACCCATCGGCTTTCTTGATTAGAACACTTAGAAAACTAGCAGGGGGTTCCTGGCTTCTAATTTGGGTGGCCAGAGAGGTGTGGCTGTGGGTGTCCTTGGTTCCTGACCCACCCTCTCAGGCTGCTCCCCTGCTCTGCTGCCCGGAAACTGGAGACTCAACAGCTTCTACCCTGATATTTCTGCCTTGGAGACCTCAGGCAATGGACTGAATCCCCGTAAAATGTGAGCCAGATTAAACTTCTTTAAGTTGGAAGGATGGAGTACTGGATCCCAGTAATAGAAAAGCTGACAAATTCAAGGGGAGAATTGTATAATTATAAAATAACTTACTTCATAAGCCACTTGTGATGGTACATATCTATAACCCCAGCAGTCTTAGAAGTAGAGGCAGGAAGGTCACAAATTTGAGCCCAGCCTGGTAATTTGGCAACTTAACAAATCCCCAATTCAATTCAATTAAAAAAAAAAATTGAAGATAAAGCTCAGTGTCAAGGCTCTGCATTGAATCCCCAGTACTGGAGGGGGAAAAAAAACAAACAAAAACACAAACCAACCCATGACCAACTTTATAGTGTATTTTAATGTGGTATCCCCCAAGCCTTCCAGTTTCTAGTTATTTTCTTCTTTGACAAACAACTTGGGCTCCATCCTAAGTTCCTAGGGGTTCGGGTCCCTCTGAAGTGTTAGAGGCTCCCTGGGGCTGTGCTCAGGCAGTGTCAGTGCTCAGTTTTTTTTCTTATCAAATCCCTACCCTTGGACACAGGACTTGAATAATATCTTTCAAGATAGCTCTGTCTCAAGGCTAACCCTCCCTTGGGGCGCCCTCCTGCTTCCAGTGCACTCTGCAAAGGAAACAGAGAGTTGCTTGGGATTCACTGACAGGTTCCCTAACATGGGCCCTCCCCTCTGGGAGTGGTGCAGCATCAGCATCCTTTGCCAGGCAGCCACATCCTGTGCCTCCTCCAGAGGGTGCCAGGTGTCTGCACCCTCACATGTTTGGCTGACACAGATCTGGCCCAGGTGCCACCGCTAGATGTCCTAGGGCCCACGTCAAAACTTTGCCCCTAAACAGCAGAATCTTTGCAGACTTTTTTCTTCCTAGTGAACTGAAGTTTTTTTATTTTTCTTTGAGAGTTTATTTTTTTCATAATTCTATTGAGAGATAAATAACAATGAGGCAGTTTCACATCAACTTGGTCTAACAGTTTCAATAATTAACACATTGCATACTCTCTTCCTAGTGGTTATTTGCTGTACAAAATGCAGACATATCCTATTGACAAACACTATTAGAACAAGTCCCTCTATGCATTAAGAGAATGTAACTATATATCTATCCTAACCATTCTGGATACACAGATACAAAATGGACATTCATCTGTATCCCCTTTTTTTGTTTAGTTCCGTCATTTGAATATTATAGGTGTGTGAACTCAGCAAAATATTCTAAAAGAGTCCAGTAGCCCATAATAGTATTGGGTCTTCCGCTTGACTGACAATGTCCGAAATTGTTGACCTGAGTCCCCTACAGCTCAACATAACAGCATGGCTTTACTTTTTATCTGAATTTTTTTTTTTTTTTTTTTAAAGTTCCTTGTATATTATGTTCAGTCTTTTCCACCTAAGAGATAGACTTTGAGTCTCTCCTGTCTCTGGAGTGTCTTTGAGTGAAGGTAGAAGCCCTCTTTCCCGAGATTGTCTTGCATCCACCCCTCTGGTGGCTGTGTCAAGTCTCACTCAGTGAGGGGAACTTGTGTTATTCACACCCTGCCAGGTTGTGGGCACCAATGTTCTGCCTGGCCGAGGGCCTGGCCAAGCTCAGCACTCCACAATTCCTGCTGCCAGCTGATGGGTTCTTCCATTCCCTGAGCATGTGTGAGTCGCCTCACTTGTCAGCTCACAGGTGAGGGCTGAGCTTTGGAGTTGGTAGTTCGCAGGCAGGCAATGCTAACGGCAATGGTGTTGGAACTGGGATTAGTGATCTTCTCTTGTACAAATTATCTCAAAATTTAGTGACTTAATAGAAAAGTATCTTGTACAGCAATTAACCACTAGGAAGAATGTATGCAATGCGTTAATTATTGAAACTGTCCTACCAATTTGATTTGAAACTGTCTCATTGCTATTTGTTTATCAATAAAATTATGGGGGAAAAATAGGTATACAATGTTTAGAAAATCGTAAGAGAAAATCTTTGGGATCTAGGGCTATCCAGGGGGTTCTTAGACTTGACATGATTCAAAAAAGGCAGTTAATAAATTGAATTCCACTAAAAACCATAGCCACTTAGTTGTGAATTTGTCCCTGCTTAGGTATGTAGCGATGAATGGAGTGGAGCAATGGTAGGAGGCCTGCTGTGCCAGAGCAAGCTGGTGGCTGGCAAATCAGCAGAGAGTCAGGCTGTGGCTTGGTTGTGTCTGAGCTGGGCACAGAGCTACACTGCCTGATGATGGCACCAGGCTCCTGAGTTGTCTGCATACTGGTGCTGCTCTAAGCCCAGGACACTGGTCCCAGGACAGTCACCTATAGTTTCTAGTGTGCTTTCCTTTCTGTTGCTAGCACTGGAGATGGGCCCATGTAATAAGTAGGAACGAGCATGTGTGAAAATGACTTCGACCTTCTCCTTCCCTAAAGGTCTTCATTTTCTGTGCTTCTAGATGGTAAAAGCGATCCAGGTGTTGCGCATTCATCTTCTTGAGCTGGAGAAAGTGAATGAGCTCTGCAAAGATTTCTGCAGTCGGTACATTGCTTGTCTGAAGACAAAAATGAACAGTGAGACCCTGCTGAGCGGGGAGCCTGGAAGCCCCTACTCCCCTGTGCAGTCCCAGGTACTTGCCTCGGGCCATCCTGCATGGTAGTTGTGACATTACCTGCCAGCACTTTCTAAATTGCAGGACTGTCATGATGGCTGTCCTGCCTGAAGGACCTTCCAGGTCTCTGCCCCAGCCTGGCATGGGAATGGGTCAGCCAGAGACAGGTGTGTGGGCCTTATGCATGATATGGGTGAGTCCTCCATCTGTCGGGGCCTCTGACCCTGTTCCATGTCGCCAGAGGTTAGGGTGTCATTCATCTTTTCTTCTTGAAAAAACAGTGTTGGTACACATACGATACACAAAATCAGACATGTAGTTTTCAAAAGTTATATAAAATACAAAGTTTACTATCTTAACTATTTTTATGATAACCATTTTTAAAGAGATTATCAAGTTGTAGTAAGTTCATTCACATTGCTGTGCAGCTATCACCACCGTCTGTCTCCACAGCACTTTCATCTTCCCAAACTGAAACTCTGTCTCTGTTAACCCTAATTCCTTAGCCCCACCTTCTCCAACTCCAGCACGTACCATTCTACTCTCTGTCCTTCTGGGAGACAATAATGCAGCATTTGCCTTCTGTGCTGGGCTTATTTCCCTTAGTGTAAGGTCCCTGTACCTCACCCATGATGAAGGACCAAGGGTTAGAGTGTAAAGAACAGACTTCTCACCTTGTTCTCAGTCCTAGGGAACCCTTCTGACTCTTAACAGCCGGGTGGTTGAGGTTTTTTCTAGATGCTTGTATCTGATTAAGGATACTCTCTTCTGTTGCTATTTTTCTGAGAGTTTTTATTATGTTGAATGGGATGATGGGATTATCCTTCTTTGACCAGTTAATATGGGAGATTATATGGGTTGATTTGAAAAATCAAATATTGAACTAGCCTTGTACTCCTAGATTAAATCCACTTAATCATGGCACATAATTGTGAAGTGTATTTGCTGATATTTTGTCAAGTGCTTTATGTCTGTATCCATAAGGGATATTGGTGTGTATGAGGTATGTGTGGTACTGGGGATTGAACCTAGAGTCTTTGTACTGAGCTATATTCCTAGCCCTTATTTTGAGATCTGGTCTTGTTAAGTTGCTAAATTGCCTAGGCTGGTCTTCACTTCATGCTATTCTGTCTGTCTCTCAGAGTTCTGATATTATAGATATGAGCCACCTTGCCTAGCTTAGTTTTGGTTTTTGTACTGTATGGTTTTGGTAGTAGATTGAGGAATGTTCCTTTGTCTTCTGTTTTGGGGCTGGGGAGATTGTTCAGTGGGCTAAACATCTGCCTGGCAAGTACAAGGATCCAAGTTTAGTCCCTGGTACTGCAGGCCCAAAACCATATGTGCCGGCACGTACCTGTAATCTCAGCACTGGGGAGGCTGGAGGAGGATCACTACAAATCTGGTCTGTGTAATATAAAATGTTTGATCAACTTGGCATGGTGCCACACATCTGCACTCGGGAAGCTAAGGCAAAGAGAATCACCATGAATTGGAGGCAACCCTCAGCTACAGTTCAAAAAAATCCAGCCTGAATGACATAGTAAGACTGTCTCAAAAAAAAAAAAAAAAAGAAAAAAAAAAAGTAAGGTACATAGCTCAGTGGCACAGTGCCCACTTGGCAAGTGCAAAATCCTGAGTTTGACTCCCAGTAACTGTATATATTTGTCTTTATGAGATAGGGTCCTACTATGCAGTTCAGGCTGACCTGAGCTCACTTCATAGCCCAGGTTGGTCTTGAACTTCTAGCGACCCTTTTGTTGAGTCTTGAATGCTGAGATTATATGCATACTATACGCGTACACCACCATGCATGGCTAAAAAAAGATATTTGATTAATAGAATGCCCCAGAGAAACCACATGAAGTTCCTTTTTGGGAGTTTTAAAAATTACAAGTTCAGTTTCCTTAACAGTGCAGAGCTGTATGGATGGGTGAAACATGGTGGCTAAGCTTGGGCCACTGATCCCTGTAGCTGTCACATCTCCAGATACAGAGCTGTGCTCACCCCTTCCAGACCTTTGATGTCTGTAGGACCCACACTGGTCTCCTGTTTCTTCCTGAGATGGGATCTGTCTGCTCTTTTTTGTCAGGCTTACCAGAGGTTTGTTTGCATTGATCTTTTCAGTAAGCCAGCCTTTTGTGTCATTGATTGATGGATTGTTTTTCTTCTCAGTTTCATTGGTTTCTGCTCTGAAATTTGTTATTTTTTCCCATCTGCTTGCTTTGAGTGCTCCTTTCGTGAGCTCTTACGGTGGGGTCTGTAGTATTAATTTGCATGGTGTAGCTTCTTTTGTGACCAAACTCATGAAGCAGACTTGAAGCATGTCTTCCTAAGCCTACTTGTTCAAGTGATGCTGCCCTCGGGCCAGTTGCCCAAGGATGGCATCCACTGGCATGCTCTGTACCTGCTCAGACATCCAAGCACAAACTTTGTGCCAGGCTTCGTGTCAGGTGCCTTTCACCCTGCCAACCCAGCCTGGCCATCACAGCAAATGGATAATGTCCGTGTTGGGTCAACTTCAGATGGATAATTTCTCATGTGCTGTTTACAAGTGTTTCCAGTGGATCTTGCTGCAGGACAGGCTTAATCCCAAATACCACTGAAAATAAGAGCACTGAAATGTGGGGGGTCACCTGTGTTCCTAGAGATGCTGAGCGGGGGCTGGAGGTGACTCTCGACAGTCACCGGGAATACCTTTAGCCGTATTCTTTTCAGTTGCCTCTAAGCCTGGGTACACTCTTCTGAGGGCGCTGGGCTGCTGCAGGAGGGTGTGCTTGGTGGAGAACTCAGTTATCTGAAGAAGGAAGGCTGTGATCAGCTGCCAGTCTTCCCAGTCTCCCCTGGGCTCCTAAGAGTGGGACAGTGAGGATGGAAGGTAGTGTGCGGGAGCCATGGTGCAGACAGCACCTCAGTATTGTTGGTTCATATGCAGTCTCTTGCATTCTCCATGTGTGTGCTTGCTTCCCCAAAACTGTACCTTTTGGGCTTGCTCTGAGCTCCAGGCCGCCTTGTGCTTTGCTAGTGATGTTATGATGCCACCACTTGTACGTTTAAGACGGAGTCCTCCCATTGTCTGCTAATACCCACGATGTGTGTGTTCTGACATTCAGCAGATTCAGAGTGCCATCACAGGCACCCTCAGCTCACAAGGAATTGTGGTGCCAGCATCTGCCCTGCAACAGGGAAACGTCACCATGGCAACAGTGGCAGGTATGGACAAAGGAAAACCAACACTTTCTCCATAGTATGGGCAGGACGTAGGTCCATTTGTATTTCATAAGTATGTAGACATAATTTTTTTAATATTTAGGTTTTTTAGATTTCATAGTATTTATATAGCCAGTTTCTGATTAACAGTATTAGAATCAGAGGTCTTTTGTATGTCTGTTTCTTGTTCATTCTCTCTAAATATATTATGCAAATTGTGCTTTTCTATCAAAAGTAAACTGGAATGAAAACAAGTTTTCTGTAGGAATTAAAAACATGTAGCAGAGTCAGACAGGATGGTACATGCCTATAATTCCAGCACTTGGGAGGCTGAGCCAGGAGGCCTGCCATGAGCTGGAGACCAGTCAGAGCTACATAATTTGTTCAAGACCAGCCTGAAGTATATGGTTAGCCCCTATCTAAAAAAAATAGTCGAAAAAATCAGTTACGGTTTTTCAAGTAGCATAGTTTTTAATTGTGCTTTTAGCTGTACCTGGAAATTCTTGTTGTATCATGAATTAATGACACAGCCCTAATCTTACTATTACCTGTACAGCAAAAACTTTGACAAGAATGGGACAGAGACCACTGTTCCCCAGTATGTATAAGATATTGCAAATATAAAATGTGACAGAAATGGAACAGGGAAGAACATGAAGGTGCACATCTGTAATCTCAGCACTTGGGAGGCTGAGGCAAGAGAATGGCTGCAAGTTCGAAGCCAGCCTAGGCTACATAGTGAGTTCAGTGCCAACCTGAACTGCATAGGAAACTCTGTTTCCAAAACTAAAAATGAAAAAAATAAATAGAACAAGGCATGTAGGGAGAGGCAGAAATTGATACTAAAAATGTCATGGTATAGCTAAAGGAGGCCTCATGGAAAAAGAAAGTACTGTTGATCCAAAAGTATAACCAGAACAAAAATATTTATTATTTGGTACCTTTAACCAAATCCTTAACACATGCTGATTGTGAGGGGTTTTTTTGTGTGTTTTATTTTGATGTTTTTTTTGAGATACTATGTGGTTCAGGCTGGCCTTGAATGCACTATGTAGCTCATGCTGGCCTCAAAAGTCATGATGATTTTCCTTCCTCAGCTTCCCGAGTGCTGGGATTACAGGCATGTTCCACCACACCCAGCAGTGTGTGCTGATTGTAGGAAAGAGTAAAAATAGAAGCAAACAAACAGAATGGAATGGCCAAGTCCCCTGGAAGCCACGTGGGTTATGCGGAACCTAGCCCAGCAGTCTGGTGAATATGTGATAATTTATAGTGACAGGTGAACTTGAAAAGATATAAAAGCTTATTGAATTAGAGATTTATTTCTTCCACAAGTGTGACAAGAAAAGTGATTTTAAATCATTAAGACTTAAAAGTGATTTAACTTTAAATCATGTTCTCCCTTTGAGGTGGCACCGTGTACCAGCCTGTCACAGTCGTCACTCCACAAGGCCAAGTGGTCACCCAGGCGTTATCTCCCGGGACAATCAGGATCCAGAACTCTCAGGTGCATGCACACTCCCAGGAAGGGTGTGGTGTGTTCCCTATTGGAGCCAGCTTTAGTTCATGCAGTTGTCAGTGTGTTTCTTCTTATGAGTCTGTCTGCCTCACTGTACAAAATGTATAAAATCTAGGAAAGTCTGGAGAGGTAGGAAAGTCGCTTGTGTGGTAGGGAAAGCCTGCTGGTCACCTGAGATGTTGGGACTATAGGCCCAGGCCCACCTCCCTGTGAAGCTCTCCCAGCCTTGCTATGTGCCTGGAAGGTGTCAGGACACTGCCTATGGAGCAGACCCTGAGGCTGAGGGGAATTCCTGGTTACACCCACCCAGGAGGCAGCTGTACAGGCAGTAGGATGGAGCAGAGGGACCTGCCATGCATGTGACCTGTGCTGTCCTGCCACACTCAACCTGTGCCTTGGTGATAAAGTGAGGAGGCAGGACTAGATTGGCCTCAAGGACTGTTGGAATTCAGGAGTACGCACATTTCTACTGTGAGCTAGATTTATATCAGAAAGACCAGGTTATATTGTCATTTCAAGGTTATGGAGTCATTTTTTTCGTTGTTGTTGGGGGTGGGGGGCTTGCATAGGAGAAGAGGTAGAGGATCCTACCCACATGGCCCCTCTATTCTCTGGCCAGCCTCCTCTGCCTGTGGGTTTCCATTTAGACTGTAACAAGAAAACCAGGTCTGGTGGAAGAAGAGATTCCTGGGGTCAAATTATGCTCTTTTGGAGGAAAATACTGTGAGGTCAAATACTTTACTGATATAATAGGAGTTTACATCTTGTTCAAGAGGGACAGTTTTCAACTGGGCGTATAGCTTAGAGATAGAGTGCTTGACTAGCAGGTGCAAGGCCCGGGAAGTATTCCACTGACCTCAGTGTTTTTAGAAACAAAGGCTGAATCCAAGTGTGGTGGCACTCCCAGCTGCATGGGAGCAGGCAGGAGAGTTGTAGTTTCAGGGCTAGCCTGGGCAGCTTAGCAAGACCGTGTCTCAAAATAAAAATTATTAAAAAAAGAAAGGAAGCTGTAGCTCATTGTTATAGTGTTTGAGTAGCATGTGTAAGGCCCTGGGCTCACCCCCTGGCACTGTTAAAAATATATGAGTCCATTAAAAAAATGTTTACTGCTAGGTGTGGTGGTGCACACTTGTAATCCCAGCGCTTGGGAGGCTGAGGCAGGAGGATCACATGAGTTTAAAGCCAATCTGAACTACATAGCAAGACCTATCTCAACAAACAAACAAACAGACAAAAAGTATAGCCACTTCAACAGTTCTCAATACTAATAAATATCTGGAACCTGATGGCCACCATTTGGAGCTGCTTTTGTAAGCATAGAGGCCAAAGGTAGCTTGTATTGATCTCTTGATGTTTCTATAAATTTTCAAATTAAATTAAATTTTTTGTGGTACTGGGAATTGAACTCTAGACCTTGTACTTGCCAGTCAGGTACTTGTGCCCCTGAGATATATCCATGGCACAATAAATTCAGTATTAAAATATTTATGCAAGTTTTTCTTTTCCTGATGTGTATGTTTTGGGGCAGACTTTGTATATATAATTTACATATATGTGCACACATATATGTTTGGGCTGCTATGGGCTATTTTGGGGGCCAAAGTTTGGGTTCTTGTATTCAGATATTTGAGGTGACTTCCCAACAAGGAGTAATGTGTTTTGTGTCAGAACCTTTCAGTAGTTTTGTCAGGGCAGTCAGTGACAACAGCCAGGATTTTCCCAAGAGGCCAGCCCCGGTGGCAGAAGCAGCAGCTGTGTGGGTGGCAGTGTAAATAACCCTGAGGCCCTTCCCATACCACTGTCCACTGTCTGCCACACAGGGCTGCCTGCCTGGCTCACACCTGTCACAGTGCCAGCGCTGATGCTCTCTGCCTGTGTGAGGCGTTGGTATTATGTGTCACCAGGACACACTGGCCTCTTCACACACAGCAGAAGCAGGCCAGAGTTAGGCTCTGTCTTCCTGGGCCTTCTTCACTGCTATACTTAATTTTTCTATCAGTACAAACCCACTACAAATGTATTTTCAGTGTGGTACAGCAGCACACACCTGTCACACTTGGGGTGCAAGGCAGGAAGACTACAAGTTCAAGGCCAGCCTGCACATTGTAATAAGACCCTGTGTCCCTCAGCCACTGCTGAGCAACTGCAGACTGATGTTCCCACAGCTCCCACCTGAGTTCACTTATTTCCCCAGAGGCCTACCGAGCACAGGGAAGCACTTGCTTGGGTTTAATGAGCTTCCGTCAGTGTGAACCACTAGTGGTACCTGCATGCTTATTTCATCGGGCAGCTTGTACCACCACGCAGGACTGTGCCGTCCTTCCCAATGACTATGGTATCCATGGGCTGCTGGTGTTCCAAGCCACCTGGCAGTGAGACATGAATTATGATCCTGTCATGAATGTGTTGAGCCATTTGTTGTCATGGTATCACAAAACAGGTGAAAAGTGCCCAGTGCAACTTTCAAGGAAGGACTTGGCTTCCTACCCTCTCCCAAGTGCTACTCTCCAGGGACCTTGGGTGTGAGGGACCTGTCTGTGCTGTGGGCTTTTGTTTGGTTGGTTGATTCTGAGATGGGGCCTTGCTGTATAGTTCAAGCTGGCCTTGAACTCTGTGTAGCCCAGGCTAGCCTCAAACTCATGGCAATCCTCCTTCAGCCTTCCAAGTTCTAGGATTATAGTTGTCTACTGCCACATATCCTGTGGGGTTTATGAAGGCTTTGTTTCAAGCACAGTGGATTGACTCTCTGGCCCCTAGTGATCAGTGTGATTTCCCCTTCTTTCCCTGGAGGTTGGGGCTGAAAGTCTCAGCCCTATAATTCCACCTAGTCTTTCCTGCCACCAGCCCTGTCACACACCCAGAAGAACATTATTCAGTGTTTTGAGGCCTCCTTCTAGGTAGTGGGGGCAGAGACCAATGTATACCTCACAGTATCTCGCATACCTTCAAAAGCTCGATCTGTAGAGAGCCCAGTGCATCCAGAGCATACACCTTTACTGCGTAACAGCCAGTCATCAGTGAGATCCTCATCTTGTCCATCTGCAGCTGTTGGCCATAGGGATGTTGTGAGTTCCCCCATCTCTAACTGTGTTTTCCCTTGTGAAAAAGCTCCAGCTGCAATTGAACCAGGACCTCAGCCTCTTGCACCAGGACGATGGCTCATCCAAGAACAAGAGGGGTGTCCTGCCCAAGCATGCCACCAATGTCATGCGCTCTTGGCTCTTCCAGCACATAGGGGTAAGGACCATCGGTACCCAAGCGTTTCTGAGGTATCTTTTTCTGGCTTATGTGATGTGGGAATTTAGTTATGTATCTAAGAGACCTGATTCTAAGTGTCACTTTTGTTGAGTATTCACAATGAGTTGAGCATGGGGTAGAGGTAGGGTATCTCAGTTCCTTTTTTTTTTTTTTTTTTTGGTACCTGAGATTGAACTCAAGATCTTACACTTACCAGGCAGACAC